TATCTTGTCAGTGGTTGAGGCATGGGCAGTTCTTTGCCCAAAGGCCAGTTTTGCCAAAAAGAAAACAAGCTCCAAGTGGAGTGTCTTTGGTGCTCAACATTCTCTCGGGACTAGATCGGTGCTTCCAGGAGCAATCATGTCTTACTTCAACAGAACCCTAAATTATTTAAATGCCATATTCTACAGGTCTTTGAAATTACCTATCTATGCAGAATACAATCTCTACGTATCTAAAGAACCTGATTCGTCTAACTATAAGTATGACAAACATGGATGACTATTGATCTATAATACTTAATACCTATATAACTTAAAGACTAAGACATCATATTAGAATATTATACAATAAACAACTGTGCAATAAGTAAGGACAATGACCTCAAAATGTACACAATGTATAAGTATCTTGATCAGAGGTAAAAATGTACATTGCAATATGATAAATATATATCAATATATAAAAATGTTTTAAGCAGAGGTAGAAGCATGCATACAATATTCAATATAATTTAACTTTCAGCAGTTTCAATATGCAAGACAACTCTTTCTGCATATTGTGGATCAGTAACTATATTAAGAGGTTCTTTAAAATCCCTTAACTCCATGAGAATAGCATATAATTCTGCCTTCTGGACAGAATTATAAAGGCTTTGTTCCACACAGACAGTTGTGGAAAGTTCAAATCGAACTATAAATGATATGTTAAAAAACAGAAAGGGATGGAAAAGACCCCCAAAATAGATTACATGATGCTTTATTAACCTTGAAATTTTCTTAACGCTATGAGAAAGGGAAAACAGCAGCAGAGAGACATTGGATAATAGAAAAGTCATCTGAATTAAATCAGCCGGTATATTTCCAGGATGTGTTGACCTCACAATGGAGACCAGAAGATGTAGTACTTTGGGGAAGGGGTTTTGCTCTTGTTTCCACAGGAGAAGAAAAACTATGAATACCTTCAAAATGAATAAAGATTTGCTTTGAAAAAGAGAAATCTCTGGAGAAAGAGAAATGACAGTTCATTCACATTGGTGACAACCATATAGGTGGTAAGGAGACCATATAAACTTGGGGCAGGGTTCTGTTCTTGTCTTTGCAGGAAAATACTCATCTTCAAACAGTTAAGAGACCCTGGACATCTAGATGCTTAAACAGGAAAAGATAGTATCCAGATAGTATCACCACGCAAAGAGAATTATCACTTGTGAGGACATGTCATCTGAGGGTAAGAATCTCTGAATACTAATTAGAATTCACTTAAAAATCAAAGCTGGCTTTGGAGTTGGACAATGGATCTGTCCTTCTCTAAATCCAAGTATGTTGTTAAAAGAAAGAGTTTCTGTCTCACGTCAAGTGCTGTCTGGTATGGGACAGAAAGAAGAAAGAATTTAGAAATAATTTTACTTTTCTTCTACCTATTTTTGTCTCTAGCATACCTTTCATTGAATATATAGATGTCTGTATATGTGTACATAAATTGTGTTTAAGTTTTCCATAATGAAGAATGAATTTTCCTGCAGTAATCTTTGAAGTTTCCAAGAAGATGGGGCCCACCACAACTCCACCTGGTTGATATGATGTCATGATGCTGATAGCACTACTACTTTTTTTTTTTATTTTTATTTTTTTTATTTTTCGAGACAGGGTTTCTCCGTAGCTTTTGGTTCCTGTCCTGGAACTAGCTCTTGTAGACCAGGCTGGCCTTGAACTCACAGAGATCCGCCTGCCTCTGCTGGGATTAAAGGCGTGCGCCACCACTGCTACTTTTTTACAATGTTCTGGCCAGAAATCCAAATAGGAACCTCAGAGAATCCCTACTGAATACAAAGAGACGATTTGCAATTATATCAGACAGTAATCTTGGAAGTTACCCGCCCACTTGGGCATGGCCTCTTGTACTATATATGCCAATGTAAAGTGCTTGTCCGGCCCTTCTCTTCTGGCTGTTGGATTCGGTTGCCGTCCCTTGGTCAAGCAGAGGACTATAATCTGTGAGTCATCCCCTAAATAAATAACCCTCTATTATACTCAATTCTGAGCTAGTGTGGCATTTCTTTTAAGCTTCCATATTTACCGGGGTTAGTCACCTGTGATCTAATATAACTGCCCTGGGTGAGAACACTCATGTAGGAGTAGGTCTCTTCCACAAGGTGCAGGCAGTTTTCCCACCACTGATTCTACAAATAGCTGGGTTTGGATAGGCTAGGTCTCCACAATCTCCATGGGGGCACAGAAGAAAGGCTGCTTTCCTGAGCCTTCCTCTTGACTACATGTGTGGGCAGTCTGGGAAGTATAAGGAGCCTGGCTTCTCTCCATCACCCAGGATGCAAAGGGTATCCTTGAAGCAGTATAATTTTAGTTTAAATGGATTGCATTATTCACAAATTACAAGAGTAATAGGACGGGCTGGAGAGATGGCTCAGTGGTTAGGAGCATTGCCTGCTCTTCCAAAGGTCCTGAGTTCAATTCCCAGCAACCACATGGTGGCTCACAACCATCTGTAAAGAGGTCTGGTGCCCTTTTCTGGCCTTCAGGCATACACACAGAATATTGTATACATAATAAATAAATAAATATTAAAAAAAGAGTAATAGGACTGTCCCTATATGCCTAAATATTATCATCCCAGAGGGCTCTGAAAGGCCTGCCATATCTCCAGTGTTCTTTCAAGCTGATGACTGATCCCTGCTACATTGTTAGACTACATCTACAAAAAGAAAATTCAAATATATTTACATTCTGAAAGAAGTTTTCTCCAAAACACCAAAAGCATTAAAAGCTAGCAACCTACAAACCTGACTTAATCTTTTATTATCTTTCATGAGAACTCAAAATACCTTCATAATCACTGCTGTGTACCCATACAATAATGTCTTCAATTTTTCAGAATGAGTATTATACAGATGAAAACTTTCCATATATAAGTTACATGCTTTAAAACAAAAATAGAATATTTGGTCTCTAGCACTTGTGTTTAAATCCCAGTCCCAACTTCTTCATTTCTAACCATAGATAATTCTGGTTTTCAGGGAGGAGCTGAGGCACCATGAAGGGCAGCTGACTCATGGTGGCTCATGACTGGTAGCTCATATTCTCTGTGCTATTTTAAAAGTTTACATTTTACTTCTTGAACTGATGGTCTAGGTCTTGTGGTACTGATGGTCTAGGTACACAGGGCCTAGAATTTCTTCCACCATTGTGTTTTAATCTTCCTAATAAGCACTATAAAGTTTGTCTTGTTTCACTTCACAGCTAATCAAAATGGAAGCATGTGTAGGCTAAGGTCACAAAACAGGTCAGCAGGAAAGGCAGCATTCCAAGATAGGTGAGCAGCTGTTAACCCCGGGTCTTTGCAGAACATGAACAGTTATGGAGGTCACCTAAATGCAGGCAGATGCCTCCACCATAGCATCTTTCTTTGCAGATTCAAAAACCTAGGCATACGGTGCTAGAGAGATGGCTTGGTGGTTAAGAGTGCAATCTGTTCTTCCAGAGGTTCTAAGTTTAATTCCCAGAAACCACATGATGGCTCACACACACACACACAAAAAAAGTCTAGGAGTACAGTGCATGAGCGTAATGTAAGCCCTTGGAAGAATGACGCAGGAGGATGACCGTGAATCTGAGACCAGCCTGGGTTACACAGGAAAATAAAAAGACTCAGTATAAACAGCAACGACAACATAAAAATAAAATGGAGGAGAATTTAGGAATACCCCTCTCCACTCCACCACCACATAGACGGGTGCATCCCAGTACTCCAGAGTCTGAAGAAAGGTGGTCTAGAGTTCCATACCAGCTTAGATGCTGTATGAAGGTGCTGTCAAACAAAAAACAACCAAATAAACAAAACCTGGAGGATAAGAAGGGAAAAAGCAGAATCAGGTTTAAATTCAAAAATGATGAAGAAGAGCACATAGAACTCAGCAGAAACTGAAAGTGTGTGGAAATTCTCCAAAAAAATTTATCCAGATAGACAAATTCCAGCAATCTTTTTGGCTAACCTGGTGTCCCAAGAGTCAAGCTTATAATTACACAAGCTGTGTGAGTTATGTCAAAGGCAATTTGTAGAAAGGTCAGAGAATATGAAGGATCTGAGCACTTTTCATGTTTTGATTGGAAGAACAAGTGATACTTCCTACGGTTGTTGGTATAATGAAGACAAATACCAGATGGTCCATCACAGATGACAGACTTTGTTACAGGACTTGACACATTATCAGCTTTGAATAACACTCAACTCCTTTCCTCCCAGTCAGTAGCTCTTCTCTCCTGAGGGTCATTTGATTGCATGTGATTATTTGACCAGAGCCCAAAGGCTTGAGCTGTAAACTGAATACTAAACAATGAATTATTTGACCAACATTGAAATTTAAGAGCATTCAGAACTATGCAAGTATGAGATCATTATTAACACAGACTTTGTCCTAGAGAGAGCTACAGAAAGAAAGAAAAGGGAGGAAGGAAGAGAGGAAGGGAGGGGAGGAAGGAAGAAGGAAGGAAGGAAGGGGAAGGAAATACAAGGGGAGAGGGAGCCCAACCTTCATTCTTACTGAGGTAACAGCTGTTTTGAAAGATACAAAATGTACTAAATGTCTAGGGCTACTCCCTCTAACACTAACACTTTTGTATTTGAAGACCAGAGTCTGGAAATTGTGTAGCTTTGTGAACACCCCTCCCTTTCTGCTAGGGACCAAAATGCCTGCTGTGTCTGATGTCACAGACAGTCCAAGCAGCGACCAAACTCTGTTGATTTCTGCCTCCTGTAAAGCACCAAGGGGGAGAATCCCTCATAGCCTCCCGCTTTTGCTCCCGCAGCTTTCCAAACAAACTGGGGCGGGATGGGAGTGTCTTCTTGGCTCTGGAAATCAATCCTCCTACCTTGTCCTGAAGCTACCCGCCGCCCTTCCCGGGCCCTCCCTTCGCAGTGATTTTCCTGTCCTGAACTCCGGGCAGGAGCGAGCGGACCCCGCCCTAAAGGTAGGAGCCCCGTGGTGCGGCTGCGGGCCGGGGGTCTCTGAGCCCTCCGCACAGCACTTTCGGCGCGAACTTGGGGGCGGCGGCCACCGTGCCTCCGGCGCCAGCGGCAAGGAGGAGCTTCCAGCCGCGTCGCACGCAGCCGCCGGGGACGCGGAGCCGGCGCGGCGAACAGTAAGGGGACCGGCGGCCGTCTCGGACTCCCGGCGCCGCAGCGCCCTGCTCCGCTCCCCGGCCACATCTAGGGAGAAGGAATCGTGTCCGTGCCACCTCGCTCAGGCTTCCGCTTGTCCCCGGCTCGGGGACCCGATACGACAGGCGCCGCGGGACAGACGGCTGCGCGCTGCGGAGAGCGGAGAGCCCCGGCCGTGGAGTCCCGCACATGTCTCTGCGGTCATCGCGCCCGGGCCTCGGCGGGTAACTCTCTGCGGCTGGCCGCGGTGTGGGTTTGCTTGACTAGGGGTGCTGGGAGACTGCGTCCCACACCCAGCTCGGGGTTTGGGGGTGCTGTCCAGACATTCCGGCTCTGCAGCCGCTGAGAAGTAGGGAAGGGGGCTTTGTGCGCTCTCATTCCCTCCGTCCCCTGCCAGCCCCTAGAGATGCCGAAGCCATAGGGCCCTGAGACCCTCCAGTCAACCGGGTGTGCGGGGTGCCTGATCGGTAGCTCTACTGTAGTGTCCTTGGTATCCTGGAGCTGTTAGGAAGAAACCTGGGAGATCAGCACCCCGGAGCACCAGGACCCTCCTCTCCTTAATCTCCCCTGTGCCTGTGATCTCCTCCGACTCTGTGAGTTGGGAGGCCGACCTGGGTCGGTTCCTCGTTCACCATTGTTTGTGAGAGGGGCAAGTGAGAGTTCTTCTTCTCTCTTACCATACAAAGTTTCCTGAGAAATCCTCCTTGCCACGTTAAAACTAAACCTAACAAAATACCGAGGCAGCTTATTTGGAACAAAGGGCGACGGTGAGAAAACTGCTGTTTGAGCTGCGGTGAATTTTTAAGATAAGGGAGAAGAAACTTGTTATTTTGCTGTCGTTGCCTCCGGAGCTTCCGTGGGCTTCAGCTCTTTTCTTGTGCACTGTTATTTTGGGTTAAAAGAAAGTCTATAAAAAGCAAATTCTAGAAACTAAAGAAACTCGAAGCGTCTTCTTTTAGGATCTTTAGAAAAAGCCGGGAGAAGGACAGGCTGGGGTGAAGAATTCTGTTGAAAGATAATGTTTAAAAATTGTGTGTGGGCTGGGACGGGAAGTACATAGGTGCTAGCCTATCGGAAACAACACAGAGTCTAAATTCTGAAGTCAAATTTGTTTATAAGAGGACCGACCACCTTAGTACCATGGTGAGAGGATGATTTAGAATGGCAGAACCTTCCTGGCTCTGGTGCCCCATCCTGCTGACCTTCGGGCCTCTTACTGAACACATCCTCAGATCTCTGTGGCCCCCTCTATTAGGCTTACCTGTCTATTTAACTGTGCGGGTCTTCAAATCGAACTTTCTCTTCCAGTTTCTGACCACAGAACTATCTTTTTGTTCACACGGTGTCGTTAAACATTTGGGAAGGCCTGACCAAGATACCCAGTTATTTTTCATCAGAAAACATCCTGATTTGATGTTTGCTAATGGGTTCCCGTTGCCTCCTTTTCATCTCTCCAAGGATTGCTTTTCCAATCAAGATCAGAAAAAAATCAAAAATTTAAAAAAAAAAACCCTTAGTTACTTTGACTTTGAATAAGGCTGGCTATTTCAGAGGCTCCTCAGATAAAAGCAGTTTTGGATCAAGGGAACTTTTGTAGGAAATATTTATATGAATCTGATTTGTTTTTCCAAGATGCCTCTAAGGCTAATATAGAACAGGCCGAGTGGGCATTCATTGCTTAACAGCCCTTTCCTTGAAAAATGTTCTTGCACAGTCCCTGATCACTTTCGGGTACCTCTGGATCATGAGGTAGTAGTGATACAGCTAAATGGGACTGTGACGAGACCGACGGCAGCTACCAATTTTTTTTTCTTCTGTCCCAAATCAATACAAAAAAATCAAAAAGAATATATGGGCCTGACAGAAGAATGCAATCAACATGCATCAGTCTATCTTTTGTGAAGTTGTAAATCTCAAGTTTCCCATTCCAGAACTCAGTGGCCGAGGGCGGGATTCCACAGCCCCTTCTTCAGTTAGAGATATTTCCGTGTTCCACATTGTGAAGCACAAATGAAGAACGCCCTGCTTCCTAGACTCCCCGATAAGCGTTGTCAGCGCATCACGCAGACTCCAGATGGCTTTCGTGGAAATGATGCTCCTTTACAGGGCTGGGGACATCCCTTTAACCTAGATGATGCCCCCTGAAGAGGGAGGGCCTGGCAGCATGGAATGTGTGTGGGGCACCCACTTTGGTCCCCGGTGTGTTCTCACATGTCATTTCATTTCATTTTCCCAGCAATGCTGAGACAAAACATTTAGCCCACTTTCAAAGCTTAAAAAAGAAGACTTCTTTAAGCGGAGCTGGGATGCATCCTGTGAAAGTCTGTCCATTTTACATCTTTATGGAACCCTGTAGATGGCACAGCATGTATTCTTCACAAATTCTTCCGTTCTTTGTTTACGTCTTCACACACACCACACACACACACACACACACACACACAGACACACACACACACACACTGTAGTTGGATCTGGTTGGTGGTTCTTCCCTACACTCCAGAGAGGCTTGGAGAGATGATTTGCACGCTTTGGTGCCCTTTCCATTTGACGTTCTCAGACTTTGTTTCTTCTGCAGAGTTTAATGCACCCGTGGAGACACTGTATCTGACCAATCTAGGCAGTCAGCTGACTCCACCGGGTTATAGTCTAAACTTCTTTGCTTCCTGAAAATATAGCAAGAAGCTCCTTTCCTTCAAAGGTCGGCTGTGTCTTGCCTGTCCGTAGTCTTTCAAAATCACATTCTCATCCGCCACAATAAAATGAACCTTTTTCTTGCATACTCCTACTAACATGGATAACAGCATACTCCACAGTTCTGAGTTAGCACTTAGGATTTGAAAATGTATTGGAGGAAGAGAGATGGCTCAATGGGTAAAGGTGCTTCCGATCACGCCTGAGATCCTTTTTGGGGACCCACGTGGTGGAAGAAGAGATCTGATCCCAAAGCTGTACAGTGGTGTGGAGCAAGCTTGACATGTGTGACAGAAGAGTACAATGGCATCGCGTGTGTCAGTTCTCACTGGTGACCGACTGGGTTGTCAGAAATAGTGGCGACTTGCTTTTCATGAGTGGAAGGAGCTCTTTCCTGATGGCGATGCCTCCTATTGTAATTACCTCAGACTTGATCAAGACCTTGCCATGTCCACCCAGGCTAAGGAAGGCTGAGATTCTGGGAGAGAAGTTATGAGGCTGAGAATAAGGAGCCACAAGATCTGTTTTCTTCCATTTTGGAATTTTTCTTCTTGGTCATCACAGTGGGAATTTGTGACCTATCTCTCTCTTTGCCACACTTTTGGATCAGATGCCAGGGGATTTCCTTTCATGGGAAATTGGGAAAAAGTGGGAGGAAATCAAGCATCTCTTAGGAATCCTTATCATAAATGTTGAAAAACAGAGTAGAAAGGTCCTATTTCCCAATTTCTCTTTCTTCTCATATATGTGGACATACATATACAGATGACATCATTTTTTTCAGTCGCATGTAAATACTTTGAAGACTTTCTAATCATTTATGTGCTTTTTAATCTCATTGAGAATGGAAGGGAAATATGGTGAGAACTAAGGCCTCCAGATGAGACGCAGAAAAGCTAGCTATTTCCTCTAGGGTCATTCTTCCTTCCCGGTTGTGGAAGTTGGCTTGGAGTTGGGATGAGAAGGAAGGGAGCTGCCCTAGGAGGTGAGACAACAGAGGGAAGCAGTTCCCAGTGGATCTCAGCTGCCTCATTGCACTTGTGGTCACTCATAAGGTAGGGCTTTCTTCAGGTACAGTAAATACAACTTAGTATGTACTATATAGCAAGAGGGGTTCTTAGAGGAGGAGGGCTGCATAGTGTAGTGTCAGACAAAACAAAAGCCTTATGTTCTTTTTTTTTTTTTTAAAAAAGATTTATTTATTTATTATGTATACAGCATTCTGTCTGCATGGATGTCTGCACACCAGATCTCATTACAGATGGTTGTGAGCCACCATGTGGTTGCTGGGAGTTGAACTCAGGACCTATTGGAAGAGCAGCCAGTGCTCTTAACCTCTGAGCCATCTCTCCAGCCCCAAGCCCTATGTTCTTGTAGAGCTTCATGGGAATCAGAATCCGTAGCAAAGGTAGAAGTGAATGAAAGGCACATTTCAGATGGGATGGGCATTGTAAGGGTGGTGCACTGTGCAGGTGAGGTGAAGAGGGGATGGAGGACAGCTGCCAGCCTCTCTGAAGCGGGGCTATTAGACGAGATGTGATTGAGGGAGGTGCCAGTCAAGTGGAGAGCAGAAGGAAGGCCATTCCAGGTAGAGGAAACAGCAGCTGCAAAGGTTCAGAGATGTGTCGATGGGAGTATTTGGAAAAGGAAAGGTCAGTGTGGGAAGAGATGCTGGAAAACGTTGCCCCAAGAGAGAGGAAACAGTGGCGCAGAGATGGTGTTCAGGATACAGAAGACTGGCAGATTTTATGGGGCCATCAAACTGGTGCAGGAGCTTGAAGGAAAGTTGCTGGAGATACTTAATTGCAGGTTGCCTTTTCCCAGGGAATTCTAAATCGCCCCCCACACATACACACACTGCACAGAGCTGTAGCCTCGGGTGGTTGGCTCACAGTCAATCCTGGAGTTTCTTTGTCATCCCAGCCATAGGCCTAGGTGTACCCAGGGGCAGGGCACAAAGACCCTGCACTGTATGTCTCAGAGCCTCTGAAAGATTCTCACATATTTGTTTTACAGCGAACGAAATGCCCCATGTCCCTGTGAAGCCTTTGGATTGGCTGATAATGTCTGAATCCAGATACCAGAAATTAATTATCTATTCAAATTGAGTCATAGCTGAAAACAATTAGCAAGACAGTCGCTTCTGAGAGTGGCAATATTCTAAATAATTCAAAGGCTTTGGCTTCCCTGAATTTATATCTTATCCTCTTTGCAGTCTGTCATCTAGGTTCTTTGTACAGAAATCTTGTCTCTTTGTCATGGGAAGGCACTATCTGTGACAGTTCCTTCTCCATCCTTCTCTAGACACGATCTTGGATGTGTGAGAGTAGTCCACAGATCTGAGACTTATTATTTCTGATAAAATAGTAGTGCTGGTTTATCAGAAATGCTCAGATGTCTTGTAAACTTCCAATTATTCTTTAATTCCAGATGATTTCATGTGACCTGCATACCACCCACTGGGAAAGACTAGCCTAGTTTTTAGAGAGAAAATTGTTTTTGAGATTCTTTGATATGTTCATTTCTCACT